GGCAATAATGTGTTTAAAGAGGTTTTATGATGCAGCCGCGTTAAATCTTGGGGCCAACTATCCTATCCTTTGAGGTGCCTCTAACGTAGCGAGGAGATTAGTCACTTGGTAGTGATACTCCAGGGACGAACAAAAAAAAAAGAAGAGATTTTATGATGTTTAGACTATTACATTAGTTGTACATTTGTTGTACAATTATTGTAGATCCTGAGGTAAAAAGAAAAATCTACAATAGTCAAATTTTTATTAATATAGAAATATATAAAATAAAAATAAAAAATTTACTTCGTTCACCACTCCTATCGCACAACCTTCTTCAATTCTCCTCTTGTCACGACACCGTCTCGTCTCCTTATGTCCAAATCTGAAATCCACCTATAATGAAAACCCTACAACAAGGTGTTGGTATATGTACCATATTTTTAACAGATTGAATAAATTTGACTTTTAAAATAAATTGACAAAATTTTCTTACTCAGGTTTAGTTTTCAAAGCTTTGACTTTTCAAATAAATTGTCAAAAATATTTTTTTTTCAAATTGAATGAGATTTATTTTTTTTTCTTTCCTTTTTTAAGCTATGAAAACATGAAAAATAAAATAAATGCATAAAAAAATATAAGTACATTTATAGCAAAATCAAGATCAAAGTATTAACATATAAATGTTTACAGATTCTAAAAAAACATTAAACTTTTAATGCTTTAAAACTTTAAATAATTATACACCAATCAAACGTGTCAAAGTCTTAGTGTCTTGAAATTTTATATATCAACTAAATATCAAAGTTTGTCTTAATTAAAGAGAAAAAATGAATTGTATATTATCAAGCAGGTTAGCTCGTAAGTTTTGCAAATTAAACCTATAGAGTTCGCAAACTTCACGGATTAGACAAAAAATTTGATATGGTTAAACAAATTTTTTTAAAAAATTGGTTTGTAATTTTTTTAAAAAAATTGGTTTGTATTTGCATGGATCGCGAGTTTAAGAATTCAGTCTACAAACCTTCCTCATATACACACCCCTACCCACAAACATACCAACCATACCAACAATAAACCTTAACACTAGTACAGAATGTACATTCTATATATGTTATTTTAGAGGTTTTATGTCGAAAAAACTTTTGACGTTGATGCCAGAGACGTAAATTTACGTCGGTTGTGATGGCTGACGTAAATTTACGTCGGACATGCCAAGAATCGACGTAATATTGTGATGACACAAATTTAATGCATATAGAACGGACCATTCTGTAACCAGAATGACTCGTTCTACTTGCAATCATTGTGTGTTAATTATCCATCTGGAACGGCCCATTCTAGTTGCAGAACGGACCGTTCCAGATGAACAATTAACACATCATGACTGCAAGCAAAACCGGCCGTTTTGGTTGCAAAACGGCCTGTTCCATATGCAAAATCAACAAATTAACTAATGCAAGTCAGGATTTTTGAAACGAGAGGGTGCAGAAGAAAGTCAGGATTTTTACTCTCTTGTTTACAAATAGCATGCGCGGGAAGAGAGAAGAGAGAAGAAACGTGTGGGGTTGGACCTTTTTAGCTTTGGCATAAAGAAGCCCCCAGTGAGATCTTATACAAGTCTTCATCGACGGGTTTTGAAGTTGGCCTTGGCAGTGAAATCCACATCACTAATCCAATTCTTCAACTTTGTTTCTTTTTCATGTTGGTCAAGCACCTTTGCTTGCAATGTGTGCGTATATAGAAACTTTTTTTACGTCGGATATAATAGAGGTCCGACGTAAAATGTAAAATCTACGTCGAACACAAGATACATCTTACGTAGATTTTAAATTTTACGTCAGACCCTATTAAGTCCGACGTAAAAGAGTTCACAAAAATTATAAAAATACTACCGCATCTTTTTTACGTTAGTTTTTTATATATCCGACGAAAAAAAGGTGACGTAAAAGACTGATTTTCCGTTATTGTAATTAGCGACCATATCAACAACAAAGCATAACTAGCAACCAATAGAGCGAACACCTACCTAGAGCAGCGATGGTGGAGAACATGGAAAGAAGAGTGCGCAACACGATAGCAAGAATAACTATGTCGAGATAGAGGCGACGACACGACCTTGATGAGTAGACAGGAGTAGCAGCAACAATGCATCAAAAGTAGATTAGATCGAAGAGGGAGCGTGGCGAAGGAGGCATGAATTCCAGAGAGAAGATGGGAGTGGAAAAACATGAAAGGGAAAAGGTCCTTTACATATTATAACAAGATACATAACTTCGTTAATTCGTTATAATTTGATCGATGTTGTATACAACATCAATTAAAATATAATCGATATTAAAAGGATGACATCATTTTAAAGAATATTATCACCTCCTCTATTACATCAAGTGATTTATAAGTTTTAATTGATGTTAAATCTTGACGTTATATCTCATTTTTACACTAGTATTATTAAACTTAAGTTTATAATCAGTTAATTAAATGTGTAACTGCTTGAAATTTGCATTCTTATAATTATAATTTTTGAAATATATATCATGATCGCAGATAATATTTGTATTTTTTTTTATATATAAATTATATTATTATAACTTTAACATAATAATAAATATTTAAATTATAGTTGAGATGAAAAAAAATATCATGCGAATATAATTAGAATATGCTTATAATTAAGCGAGACAAGTAACAATAAGATTAGAGAAATCTCTGTCATCCACGCAAAATAAAAGTTTAACTCTTCCAAAATGATAATGTTTATTGAGCAAGAAAGTATGAATTAAAAAATTGAGTGAAACATTTTTGCAGAAGAAAAAAAATATTGAGTGAAACATTGTTTAAACACACTATTCTTTAACTCCAAGCGTGTGGTTCAGCACGG